CCCTAAAAATTTTAAAATTGTTGGCCCCCCACCCCCAAAATTCCCCCACCCGGCTTTGTGGGTGGGGGAATTCTGGGAGTTGAAGTCCACACATCTTAAAGTTGTCAAGGTTGAGAAACATGGGTATAAGAAGTTATAAGTTTCTTTTTCAAGTAGCTGGTTTAACAGAATTGGAGACATTTTTACCTCTAAATCGCCTTTAGTAATAGATTCTTCCTCTACGCGGAACTGGAGATCTTCAACCTTCCTGTGAAAAATGTTTAAAAAGTAAGACCATGAAGACGATAGGGGTTGTCCAGATTATTTCTCAGGCAAAGGCCTGGGAGAGAGTTAAGCATCACAGCTGAATGATTTTGATTTTTTAAGGAAAGATTCGAGATGTCGTAGGATTCAAACCAGCAGCCTACGGATTAGGTGCTGTTTCGCTGCTCCCTTCAAGGAAAAGCACTGTAATTCTACCTGGATTCTATTAAGAAAAAAATCCACGTAGAAAGGAAAGAACAAACAGCTGCATGACCTCCTTTGATCTGCAGTGCCACAAATGTCTGGAATAACCCATGACAGGCAGAGGCCTGAATGCACGGAGCACAGTTCACTGCTAATTCCTCTAATGTAGTCATAACAGAAATTTAAATAAGAGTTAAGCAATCTTCATTCCAGCAATGAAGAGAGTCTCAGAGAGACATTCCAGGGGATGGCTGACCAAGGCAGTTCATGGACTTTGTTATCTGGATTCCTAACGTGCACCTCAAAAGACCGTCATCCAACTCCAGCCCTTAACCAGGAGCGCTTGAACTTCGTAACTGGGGGAATGTCCCTTTACAAAGAGCTTTTTCCCCCAACCTGCACGACGCAGCGCTCTTCCCCTTTCTTAACAAGAAAGCCCTAGCTGTGCACTGAAGTCTGATCTCTCACCTGCAGCCCAACAGGTGAGAGACCGCAACGTTTCTGACGTTCAGCAAAATTCTACCTGAAACCCCATTCGTAATAAGCACGTCACAGGAGAGAAGAGCAACGTACTTCGTAGGGGAGAAGCAAATTCATTCAGGTTTACACTTCAGTGGTTTCTACCCACTTCACAGTTGGGCTTGTGCAAATGAGTGTTTGGTAGGTGAAAGCCAACCAACTGCTTGGTTAAAGTTCCAGGTTTACGTGGAAGTGGGAGAAATATCGGGTGGCCCAAGCAACGGATATTTTTCGAGCTGTAAAATGTCAGCTCCCTTAAAGGACCTTAGCTGACTGTGTCCGCTGTGTTCAGTCACCTAGCAACTTGTTCAAGAGAAGCAGCAGGCTAACCAGGGAGAGACTTAAGGTAGCCCTGAAGTGGAATTTCCATGCCTTGCAGTAACGGAGGCCTGTTTGCAGAATAATTATCCCAAAGTAGAAAGCCAACGTGCACCATTCTTAAACAGCGTAACATGCCTAACCCTTGGGCCACACGGTCTCCCATCTTGATCTGGTTCATCCTCATACCTCTGAAAAGCAGGCAGGACTAACGCTTCCCTTCATGAGCTAGAGGGCATCTCTTTCCCCCCAGTAAAGCCCCAGAAACATTCAAAGGGAATAGAATGGTATGAAACCAAAACCGGTACAGGTGGGACTGGAACTAATATGCCTTGCCTGGGTTCTCACCAACTTCGCTAAAACTTGCTTCTGCTGTCCAGGTTTTTCGTGGCCTTCAGAACTACAATTGGTTTTACAACTCATCCATCACTTTTTCCAATTTTTTGTTTATTTGCACGGTTGGCTTACCTCCTTTCCTCCTCCAGCTGGTTAAGCAGCTCCACTTTTTCTCTGTCAGCAGCTTCAACCAGGGCTCGCAGCTGGTCCATCTTGGCTTCCATTTCCAGTATTCGCTGATGAACAGAGGTGCGCGTTAGAGGAACCCCTCTTTGACTTAAATCAGGCTACAGTGAACTGGCTACGTAGAGGGCAGGCTGTTTCCAAAAACAACCAAAGCTATTTGCTTCTCCCAAGGTCTAGCATTTGTCCGCAAACTACTAGGACCCTTTTCGTGAGAAATTGAGCTAATGCAGAATGGCTGTGTTGTAACTTTGCTTGATTAATGCGGAACAACTTAAGGAGCGGACCAAAAGGATGAGCAACTGATTTAGCCAACTGACTTGCAAAACCAATCAATAGTCAGTTACTTCTGCTAACCTGATGGAGACTCTCAGATAAAACCATCTTCAGGATATGGAGCCTTTTTACTTACTTCATCTTTTGTACACAAGCAGAGCTTGGATCTTCCCAGTGGCCACCCAAACCGGCCAACCGCCTCCGCTCACCTGATCGTGTCCATCCCGCGCTAACGCGAGCTGCTGCTCTATCTCCCCGACGTGGCTGGTGGCCTTGGCGACCTCCGCCCTCTCCAAATCCCGCTCAGCCAGGAGTTGCTCGATGTGCTGCTGCTTCTCCTTCAGCGCCTCTTGCAGAGCGGTGGTGCCTGAAATCTTCCGTGCGTACCGAGAGGACGTCTCTGTCAACTACAAGGACGAGAGACGTATTTCGAACAGCCCAGCTATTGCGGGAAAGATCAAAAATCACACCCCGGTGCTGCAAACGCCACCCGCTTCTCGAGTTTGGATTGAACCAGTGCAGCTAGTGTTTGCCAGCTGATCTGTCAAATACCCAGCAGGAAAATAAGGGAAAACCCTAATTAAGAGCTGCCCTGAAACAAGAGGATGTCAGCAGGGGGGTGTACATTAGATGGTGCAAATGGACTGATTTTTGTCTCTGGGAGCAGAGGAGATTCTCTTCTGCTGAACAGTCCTAAGGGCCTATTTCTGGAAGATGCTTTCTCTTAAAATTCAGTTTTGGTCCGGGATCAGAACGCAGCACAGCGCAGGGCAGAGACTTCCGTGCTGCATGAGCGGAGTCCCACCTATACGGACCGGTGAGTGGGGCAGGGTGATTTTTTAATCTTGGCTCCATCCCAAACAAGTGTTGCTTGAACCCCAGAAAAATTTAGAACGAAAGCTCTTTTTAGGGATACTTGTTTCCTAAAGCGAACGAACCCATATAAAAATGGCTGAAAATCCCAGTGAATGGTCAATGGTGTGAGCTAAGCTCTTTGGGGCATTATGAGTGGAACAGTCCCTGATTATTGTCTAATGCAGTGTTTCTCGACCTTGGCCACTTTAAGCTGGGTGGACTTCAACTCCCAGAATTCCCCAGCCAGCATGAATTCTGGGAGTTGAAGTCCACCCGGCTTAAAGTTGCCAAGGTTGAGAAACACTGGTCTAAGGTGAAGCATTTTCCATGTTTCGGTTCTGTGAAGCACGATGCCCCAGGATCACACTGGGGTAGTGACTGAAGGAGTGGACAGAGGGAGGGAGGAAGAGAGGAGAACCATTCACACATTTAAAACCATCCGTCTAGAATGGCTTGAATTTACTACTGCTGGTGATGGTTCCTTATGGTCATGATACAATCAGCAAATTTAGCACAGGGGGGTTTATTCCACATAAGTAGTGGCTAAAGAAAATGGACAATCAGCTAACTCAGTATTGCTCAACCTTGGCAACTTTAAGATGTGTGGACTTCAACTCCCAGAATTCCCCAGCCAGCATGGCTGGCTGGGGAATTCTGGGAGTTGAAGTCCACGCATCTTAAAGTTGCCAAGGTTGAGAAACACTGAGCTAACTGAAAGAGCCTTCCCATTTTAGGAGAAGAGATGAACATTGCTTCCCTCTTCCATGCTCCCCCCGACTTTAGTAGTCCGAGAAAGGAAGTGAACGTACCTGCATAGCAAGACTCTTAACGCAGCATTCAGGAGATAGGAAACAGAAGAGTTGAAAGGGAAACAAAAGCTTGTGTGGCTTCAACCTAAGCGGTGGGAGCCTAGGGCAGATTAGCTCGTTAAGCTGCTAAGCGTTCTTTGACAGGGGCGCTGGCTAAACATAAGAAACGTCCTTCGGTTAAGCCCAAGAATTTGCTCGCTTATTCAAGTCACAACCTGGGATCACGTGCAGCAAAACCAACGCGCTTTGCCAAAAGTGGAGGGGAAAAGTTATTCTTTGGGGTGCCTCTGCGAAGGCAACTGGGAACAAAAATGGTGCTTGCTAGGCCTTGCAGTCTTCCCAAGGAGGCTAGAAGGACCGGAAAACAGACCAAGTGGATTCACCTGGAAGTGTCTGCTGCTGAAAAGCAAATGGGGAGACGGAGCGGGGGGTCCTTTGCTCAGACATGTGAGTTTCCACCAGGCCAGTAGCCCTGAAAATCCTGCTCGCCCTTTCAGTATGTTGTACTACTCCATTGCTTTCCACTTTCTTTAGAGAAGCGCATGGTGAGGTTTATGTGAAGAATCGGGCGTTGGTGAATATTCCTGCAGCGAATAAAGCCCATTCTGCAGACAGCATGGGAAGTCAACTGCAGTCCCACCTGTGATTTACACTGGCAGGTAATTCTAGGGACTGCCCCCTCCAAAAGCAAACAACGGTGACTGTTGGAAATACTCCTGGGGACAGAAATCGTGGGAAGCAAATTCCGAAATCTCCTTGATTCAATTTTAAGCTGCGGGAAAGAATTGCGAGCTGATATTTGCTGCAGGTGACCCCAGATTAAGCCATTCATGTTTTCAAAGGTTAAGGCTAAGAATTAATATACAGTCAGTATGATGTTAACATAATACACGTTTGATACTTGCACAGTGACCAGGTCGTATCAGTTATGTTTATGGTTAAACTGAAGACTAAAGAAAGAGGCTTTTTTGGTGTAGGGAGTCTTTCAATTTAGACAACGCGTCGGCCAGATGCACGTAACCATGATTCTGGAGCAAAACTAGCAAAACAGCTAATGTCCAAAACAAACATGCAGGTACAAAAAAATTTTAAAAATCAAAACCACCCAACAACTATCACCTCTGTCTCTCACTCACATACACACACTTGAACATACATAGATGTGCAATTTTTTCTTCAATTAACAGGGAAAGTAAACCCATAGTACAATTTGAAAAATGCAACTCTCACTATATATTAAAAAAAAAAAAAAATCAGTGTTTTCAGTGTGATGCATTTTTAAGTCAAGGTTTCTGGATTTTCAACCCTCTTTTAATGCCAAATGCTCTCTGATAATACCTATGTGTGTGGGTGTGCATGCATACATACATATTTATTGCAGAAGTACTATACTATGCGTGGTATGTGTGTGTGTATTTATTGCAGAAATATTACTCTGTGGGTGAGTTGCAGATTGCGGGCAGAGACTATTCACTTTAAACCAAAATGTAACCTCTTTCTTATTTTAAGAAGCCACGGTTAGTATGAATTAAGCATTAGGATATCAGCTTAAACACTAACACTTCTATTCTCCAGGGCTAGCTAAGTTTTTTTTCATGCATGCTTTCAGAGAACACCACCATTCGAAGGGAAATGGGCAGGGCAAAACGGCCGGCGGGGGGAGGCGCCCCACGATCTGCGCTATCTGGCGACCCGCAAGAGTGCCAATTTCTGCTCTCAGGTCGTCAAGCACGCAGTACGAAAAGAAACTTACTAGTCCTGCGCGGCTCGGCTTGCTGCTTACGGAAGAGGCCACCGAGCTCAGGGAGCTGAGGGAAGAGGCGCTCGGGCTGCGTTTCAAGCTCGTTGGCGTGGGGAGGACTTTCCGGACGGCAGGCTTGGCCTTCGCCGGGGTGGTCGAGGGGAAGCCGATCTTGGTAACCTTATGCACCGGAGCAAAGAGGCCGTATTTGGACTGGCACTGGAAGTATCTGAGACGGGGAGGGAGGGAGACACCCAACTGTGAAAAGAGGCTGCACAGAAAACCTTCCACATACACAGAGACAGAAACACGACCTGAGCTACGGCTTTGTGTCGGAAGCAGAGGCCTCTTACAGAAGTGGGGCTGCCCCCATACGTGAAGAAATGGCTCATAAAAGCTGGGAATACACAGGCCCCCCACAGCAGGCTGGAGATGGCACACTGCAATGGTTGGCAGGAGGGTTGGCGGATCACCCTTCCCACGTTCGCTTCTTGGCCATTCACAGGAGGGTCAGTAAAGCAGTGTTTCTCAACCTTGGCCACTTGAAGATGGGCGGACTTCAACTCCCAGA